ATCTATAATTGTTAATGACTTTGAACCTTTGTCAGACACGACTGGAATTCTAATTGCATGATTAATTATCGTCGAGAATTTAATTGGAATAATTATTACAAGAGTGATGACCGTGAAGAATTAGAGGTCAATGGGTGGTTAGAGTAAACACAGGGAGCGACTCGTCTTACCTGGGCGTTTGTTCGTGCCGTCTCCCATCCTCTCTAATTGGCAGTAAATTACCTGTGTGTGTGAGTTATAACAGTAATGGCTATGCTCACACAATACACACACAGTCACGATGGGGCATTATTGTCTTTTACCTCGATCCTCTTTTCATGATTATTTGGCCTTATTCCCTATTCTCCAATTATCCTTCCCTACACAGAACCTAAAAGAATGAGGATGGTTATTCTTGGTCCTGTGTTGTAAGTCTGGTTTATTGATATTTGCTCTATTCCTTATTCTCTGTCCCTTCAGATGCGTAAGGTTTATTCTATCTTCCTTTATTAGTATTTTGTCAGATTCCTTATTCTTTATCTACACGGAAAATCCAAAAGCTGAGATGATTATTCTTACTCCTGACCTCCTCTTCCCTTTTTATTTTATTTTATCCTATTCATTATTCTCGGTATTTTCACTGCATTTATTACCACACCTCTTTGTTTCTCCCTTCTCACTCTTCCCCTCTGCTATTCCCTATTTATTAGTTTATTTTCTCTTTCACCCTTCACTCTTAACCTCTCTCACTTTGTGCTGTTCTTTCTCTCTCATCTCTCCTCATCTGCTTCCCTCTCTTCCTAACAAAATAATTGCTGTTTATTTTCCCCTGTGACCTTCTCCCCTTCTGTCTCCCCTCGTGTGGCTGTCATCCCTCGTGTGGCTGTCGTCTCCCCTCGTGTGGCTGTCTCCCCTCATGTGGCTGTCGTCTCTCCTCGTGTGGCTGTCACTGCCCCCCGTGTGGCTGTCGTCTCCCCCTCGTGTGGCTGTCTCCCCTCGTGTGGTTGTCGTTTCCCCTCATTGTGGCTGTCGTCTCCCCTCGTGTGGCTGTGTCCTTTCATTGTGGCTGTCGTCTCTCCCCTCGTATTGCTGTCGTCTCCCCTCGTGTGGCTGTCTCCTCGTGTGGTTGTCGTTTCCCCTCGTGTGCCTGTCGTCTCTCCCCTCGTTTGCTATCGTCTCCCCTCGTGTGAGAAAGCAATGTCCTTTCGTGTGGCTGTCGTCTCCTCTCCAGTGGCTGTCACCCCTCGTGTGGCTGTCGTCTCCCTCATTGTGCCTGTCGTCTCCCCTCAATTTGCCTGTCGTCTCCCCTTAGGTGGCTGTCACCCCTCGTGTGGCTGTCGTCTCCCCTCATTGTGCCATCGTCTACCCTCGTTTGCCTGTCGTCTCCCTCGAGTGGCTGTCACCCCTCGTGTGGCTGTCGTCTCCCTCGTGTGCCTGTTGTCTCCCTCGTGTGCCTGTCGTCTCCCCTCGTGTACCTGTCGTCTCCCCTCTCGTGTGCCTGTCGTGTGGCTGTGTCCTTTCGTGTGGCTGTCGTCTCCCCCCATGTGGCTATCATCTCCCCTCGTGTGCTTGTCGTCTCCCCTCGTGTGGCTGTCACCTCTCGTGTGGCTATCATCTTCCCTCGTGTGGCTATCACCTCTCGTATGGCTATCATCTCCCCTCGTGTGGCTGTCATCACCCCTCGTACGATTGTCTCCCCTCACTCTCTCGCTTCCTGTTTCCCCTCTGTCTCTCTCCCTACTTCACATCCGTCTTATTAGGACCACTATATCTCCTTGTCTTCCCTCTAAATATTCCTTCATGGCCAATTTATCAACACGCACACGTATTCCTCTCTGTCTTCATAACTGTGTGTGTGTGTGTGTGTGTGCGTGTGCGTGTGTGTGTGTGTGTGCGCGCGCAACCCCGTGTACCATCTACAGTGGGTAACGTCCCTGTGACTGTCCTTCAGTGGGTGGCATCCTTCAGTGTGTGGTATCGTTCAGTGGGTGGCATCCTTCAGTGTGTGGTATCGTTCAGTGGGTGGCATCCTTCAGTGGGTGGTATCGTTCAGTGGGTGGCATCCTTCAGTGTGTGGTATCGTTCAGTGGGTGACATCCTTCAGTGGGTGGTATCCTTCAGTGGGTGGCATCTTTCAGTGGGTGGCATCCTTCAGAGTGGCATCCTTCAGTGACATCCTTCAGTAGGGCGACATCCTTCAGTGGGTGGTATCCTTCAGTGGCGGCATCCTTCAGTGGGTGGCATCCTTCAGTGGGTGGCATCCTTGTGGGTAGCATGCTTCAGTGGGTGGTATCCTTTAGTGGGTGGCATCCTTTAGTGGGTGGCATCCTTCAGTGGGTGTATATCCTTCAGTGGGTGGCATCCTTCAGGTGGTGGCATCCTTCAGGTGGCATCCTTCGGTAAGGGCATCCCTTAGTGGGTAGCATCCTTCAGTGGGTGGCATCCTTCAGTGGGTGTGGTAGGTCGTCCTTTAGTGGGTGGCATCCTTCAGTGGTGTATCCCTTTAGTGGGTGGCATCCTTTAGTAGGTAGCATCCTTCTGATGGTGGCATCCTTCAGTGGGTGGTATCCTTTAGTGGTGGCATCTTTTTAGTGGTGGCATCCTTGTGGGTGGTATCCTTCGGTGGGTGGCATCCTTCAGGTGGTAGCATCCTTCAGTGGGTGGCATCCTTCAGTGGTGGCATCCCTTAGTGGAGTGGCATCCTTCAGTGGGTGGCATCCTTCAAGTGGTGGCATCCTTCAGTGGGTGGCATCCTTCAGTGGGTGGCATCCCTTAGTGGGTGGAGTCCCCGGGGAGGAGTAATTAGTGTGGCTGGTGCAGGTTTGCTCAGACCGCCATGACACGGTGCTCGTCTTTGTCCTTCGCTTAGTTTACAAATATTTACTTTGTCGAGGCTGAGTGACGCTCCATTGTCTCAGTGGCTGCTGCTGCTTCTCTTAGCGTGTGTGTGTGTGTGTGTGTGTGTGTGTGTGTGTGTGTGTGTGAATATCAGGAAACAAAAACAAAATAGCTTCTTGTTGTGTAAAAATTAGGAAAAGAGTTACAAGGCTGTGTAGGGGCGACTATGATGTTGGTTACACCTATAGAGACATTGGAGGGAGGAGAGGCGTGGCTATGTTGATGATGTAGCAGACGGTCGTAGGTGTGTACTGAAGGGGGGTAAGGAGAGATGTGTAGTATATCGTAGGGAGGAGGAAGTAGCGTTCGTGGTGAGAAAGGTCTTGTGGTGGTGTAAAGGGAATGGAGGAGTGGGCGTGACTTTTTTATGGGAAGTAAAGGAACATGGCTCTCTGTAGGGGAGGAAAGGGAAGAGGATATGGTTTTGTCTAGGGGAGGAAAGGGTAGAGGACATGAGTTTATGTAGAGGAGGGAAGGGAAGAGGATATAGCTTTCTGTAGGGGAGGGACGGAAAGGAAACATGGCTTACTGTAGGGTTGGGGAGGGAAAGAAGCATGGCATTGTGTAGGGGAGGAAGAAATAGGACAGGGCTCTGTGTAGGGGAGGTGTATTGAGAGTTTGTTGTTGTTGGGTCGAGGGAAAGTTTAGAAGAAAGGGTTAAGGGGGAAGATAGATTGATTATTATACAATGACTCGTATTATTCTCCATTTATTGATAATATAATGGAGAGAACAGGGAAATGGGGCGAAATATTATTGAAATGGAACACGTTTTGGAATATTGCTTTTAACGTTTTTTATATGTTGTGGATATTTACTGTGTCTTGTTCACTTCCTTGACGGTCTGGGTGTTTACGATAAAGTGGGAAATAAATTGATTGACGAGAAGTTACTGAGAATAATGTGTTTATGTTCCCCGACTTACGTGGAAAATGTAGGAGTAAAATATATATTTTTTTAATTCGTTTATTATGTCCGGGATGTCTTAGGGACAATCTACTGGTTGGTCATTGTGTGCATCAAGGACTACAGAATTACTACCAAGATATATCAACATTTCAATAATCAAATTCAGTGAAAATACAGTTTAAAGAGAACATTTGTAGACAGTGAGTACAAGTGTGTTGCAGGTGCTGTAAGTAGGTCCGAGGAAATACAAAACATTCCGATATATCTTACAAGAACAACATGTATACACAACAACTGATGGGCGATAATGTGAGGATAGTCGTTCCGTCTTGATCAAATAAGCGCCATCAGTCCTCACTCACCACCAATCCAATTGAAGGTTGTAGATAGTAGGATCCAATACAAGGCGGTGGTATCTTAGAGCATCTAGGGGGGCGCCATAAACAAGCCAATTTCGGTATCTACAAGTCGTCGGGAACAGTCTCGCTGCTGTGGGTCGAAATTGTGCCATAAAAGTAAGCGCTTATCTTACTACCCTCGACGAGATGGCCCGAGGCTCTCTCCTGCTGCTGCTGCTGCTGCCGCTGCTGCCGCTGCTGCCGCTGCTGCCGCTGCTGCTGCTGCCGTTGCTGCTGCCGCTGCTGCCGCTGCTGCTTCTTCTGCTGCTGCTGTTGCTGCTACTGCTGCTGCCGCATATTATTATTATACAGGGTGTCCCATAAATTTCCATACATAGGAAAAATAAACCTTTTTATATGAAAATCCATTTTTATTTATATAATATGCTTTACATGACTACCATTCTGTTGAAAACACTCTTCAATGCGTGTCCTCCACAGCTGAAGAACACGTTCAAGCACAGCTGGAGTTATGCTTGTAATGGCGTTGGTGATACGTTGCTTGAGATGATTTATGTTTTGTATCTTTTCCTGATACACCATGGCCTTCAAATGCCCCCAAAGGTAAAATTCAGGTGGGGTAAGGTCTGGGGATCTGGGGGGCCACTCCACAGGACCACGCCGACCAATCCAATGTTAAAAACCATATGTATGGAAACTTATGGGAAACCCTGTATTATTATTATTATTATTATTATTATTATTATTATTATTATTATTATTATTATTATTATTATTATTATTATTATTATTATTATTATTATTATTATTATTATTATTATTATTATTACGAATTGTAATAATAATAATGCAAATATGGGTATGGTTTTGATGAATATGTTAATAATCTCAACAATACTCATAATAATGATAATAACAATATTAAATTTGATAATCATGCTCATGATAATTTTTAGTGTTAGCTGTAAGAAAATAGGACATCATACACCTGAGAGGAAGAAGGAAGGAAGGCTAAAGAAATAATCTACCTACTCCATCAATGCCTACTTTTCTTCCCCACGAGGCGACGAAACTTCCCTCACGAGATTTTTGTTAAAGTGACGTTGAGTTTCCACGTCAGACTTTGTGAAGCTCCAGCCGAGGGTTTACTCCACACTTTTAGAGAAAATGCCAAGATCCTCGCTCTATGTTGACAGGTTGTTGCCAAGAACCTCACAAGACTTTGACCATTCGTTGCCAAGATATACGAAGGAGTTTCACCAAGTGTCGCCGAGGTGTGAGCTGCAACACACACAATTAAGAAGTAGAAACAGCAGTAGTGAAGAGTTTTATAAGATAATCTGAAATATATTAGTCCGGTGATACATATTTAATTATACCTCGTCACTCTTTGGGTCAGTATTTTTTTTTATGATAGTTTAAGTTTGTACCGAGACTGAGACATTAGTACATCAATAATCATAACGCCTGGCAGTAACTCACTCACGTGTTGATATTCTGCTGTTCATTAAACTCTGTCAGCGAGTCACTACATCAGGCACAACTAGCTGACACAACTGAAATAAAAAGGTGTTAGAATATATTGTAAAATGCAGTATATTTCAGCTTCATTTAGAGCATGTTATACAATTATGTAATTATATTTTTTCCTTTGAGTGCTCCGCCAACCATTTTCTATCAAAGAGCAGTAAAAGTCCGTCGGCACAAAGCTCTCACCATAAGAGTTTCATCACATAACCCGGATGAAACAAATGGTCCTTAATAATTGAGGCTGCATATCTTACCGAGAAGTCCTGAGTGGCCCTACGAGAAAGCAGTGAGCTGGCATAATAAAGGCTCGGGCTACTATCTCTCTCTCTCTCCTTCCCTCCAGAAGAAATAAGTGATCCTAAATAATAAAGCTCTCAGATCCCTTCAAGGCCAGCACGGGATCCCTCGCATCAAACAAAAGACTCCCGGAACGCTTTCACAGACTCCTCTATTCTGACGGCGGGATATGACGTCTATAAACACTGCTTATTGCTACGCCTATGTGAATAACCGAGCCACACACTTCCCGTCCTCTCTTCTTCTTTTCTTGTCTCTATTTTCTTGGGTAATTACTCGAAATTCCTGTAGTATTGTCCAGTAGCAAGTGATTCTAAATGACAAAGGAATGGTTTTGTTTATCTGAGAGGAAGAAGGAAACTCTACATCACAGTTAAGTTAGAGGTATTGGTCGGGCGTCTTCCTTGCTGTCGCCCTTCATCTTCCCTACGATAACACAACACTGAGATGTTTACATGAAGGACGGAAAAGACACTCACACACACACCTTCCAGAGTGACCCAGAAGAGATGTCACTACCTGAAGGATAATAATATAACGAGTAATATATCCATTAATGGCTTTTAGAGGCCACTGTGGTAATAGTAACGAGCGTTTAACTGCAAGATTAACTGTGTTTTATGGCTTCATGGACAATATTACCTAATAATTTGGCTGGCAGTTAGCCCAAGTGAACAGTTAAAATGGTCGTTGTGTGGTGAAGCGCAGGGAAAAACAACCTATTTTGGTGGCGTCCGGACAACACTAGTGGTGATGCTCTTACTTGTAACGAGGTCAGTGAGGTTGATCTTGTTGTAACGGGGTCAGTGAGGTTGATCTTGTTGTAACGGGGTCAGTGTGTTGATCTTGTTGTAACGGGGTCGGTGATGTTGATCTTGTTGTAACGGGGTCGGTGATGTTGATCTTGTTGTAACGGGGTCAGTGTGTTGATCTTGTTGTAACGGGGTCGGTGATGTTGATCTTGTTGTAACGGGGTCAGTGATGTTGATCTTGTTGTAACGGGGTCGGTGATGTTGATCTTGTTGTAACGGGGTCGGTGATGTTGATCTTGTTGTAACGGGGTCGGTGATGTTGATCTTGTTGTAACGGGGTCAGTGATGTTGATTATATTGTATGGTAAAAGTATGTGATTATTATTACTGACCTTTTAACGTATTTATTGGCGCTGACACATTACACTGGTGATGTAACGTCACGCTGACACATTATACTGGTGATGTAACGTCACGCTGACACATTACACTGGTGATGTAACGTCACACTGACACATTATACTGGTGATGTTTTGCAAATGGCTGGCGTCTCAAATATCAGAGGTTTATGAGAGTCTTGGGTTGGTAACGCCGCCTCTGCCCCTGTACTGTAGACTGCGGAGTGACGTAACAAACTGGTCCTGTCCTTGTGTTGTAGTACAGCTGTTACTGAGGTTGTGTAGCTTGTGTTGTTCGTCTCTCTACCGCTGCTCACGCCCAATTTTCCAATGCAGTTTATACCGTTTTTGTTTTTTGTTTCTCATAGTACTGTTTTTATTTAGTAATGCTCGTATCCATCCCTGCCATCACCCCTACCCACTCCTACTGTCACCTCCACCCACCCTTACCATCATCCACCTTACCATCACCCCACCCACCCTTACCATCACCTCACCACCCCTTACCACCCTCACCACCTTACCCACCCCACCCACCCATACCATCATCCACACCCTTACACTCACCCACCCTTACCACCCCTCACCCCACCCTTACCATCACCCCACCACCCTTCATCTACCATTACCCTCACTTCTCCCTTCTTCACCCCCACCCCACCCCTCTACCTCCCTCGTGAGCATTATATTGGAAGAATAATGACCACTATGGAACTTAATTATTCTAACAGCCACCAAGGAATCCTCGCCTCCATCGCTCATCTAGTCCTCAGCCGGTAGGTGTGGTGGGAGAGGCCGGATGAAAAATGGAGCCGGCATTGGAGCCCGACTTGCCCTGCTCCGTCAAGTAAAGGAGTTGCTTTCATAGACCCGAAATTCAATAGTTACCGTCAACGCCCACCATTTGTCTGATCTAACCTGATTGGAGGGGATTGGACGGTTGAACTTGGATGGGGGATTAGGGGGGGGGTAATGGGTGGATTGGAAATTGGAGATTGGGAGGGTAGTGGATGTGGATTGGAAGGTGTAATGGTGGATGGAGATTGGAGGAGAGAATACTGAAGTTAATAGTCAGGCAGAGACAGAGAATAAATAACACATAAGGACCTATCGAAAAAAAAAGCATCATTAAGAGCCTTTTGCTATTTTTTATATAAACAACAATAAAAGTCATAGTAATTATATTCAAGATTATGAAGGTCCTCCCCCCCTCTCAAACACACTGGATTAGGCAGCTGGACGACACCTAAACCATGTATCTGAGATTAACTGGATCTTATAAGCTGCCAACTGGGGGCTCTTGAATGCAAACTTGGGCTCTATAAGGTGCCAGGGGAAGTGTTTGTTTACGATGGTTTCTCCGTAACTCAAAGTACGAGCATCTTTAGAAATGACTTGTCCTCTCCCTCACCCACCCAAACCACACCCAACCAACCACCCACCCACCCATCCATGCACACTATAAACTCCACACCCTTCCTTCCCTGTTCTCCCCTCTCCTCCTGTTCTCCTCCATCTCCTTCCTGTTCTCCCCCTCTCTCCTCCCTGTTCCCCCCCCTCTCTTCCTGTTCTCCCCTCTCCCTCCTGTTCTCCTCCATCTCCTTCCCTGTTCTCCCCCTCTCCTCCTGTTTCTCCCCCCCTCTCCTTCCCTGTTCTCCCCCTCTCCTTCCTGTTCTCCTCCATCTCCTTCCCTGTTCTCCCCTCTCCCTCCCTGTTCCCCTCTCCTTCCTGTTCTCCCCTCTCCCCCCTGTTCTCCTCCATCTCCTTCCCTGTTCTCCCCTTCCCCTCTCTGTTCTCCTCTTCCCTCCCCTGTAATTGCCCGCTCTCCCGATGTCCGATTCAACTAAATCCGATATTTAAGGTCCTAAGGTTTATTAGCCGATAGTATCATCTGCAGTCCTCTAAATCTGTGTGTTGTTCCCAAATTTGGCTCATGAAAAGTTTTGTCAATTTTAGGGCCAATATAACCAGAAGCTTCCGGTACTACACCACTACAGGATGACAATGGTGACCTCTGACCCTCCCTAGAACGATACTACACCACTACAGGATGACAATGGTGACCTCTGACCCTCCTTAGAACGGTACTACACCACTACAGGATGACAATGGTGACCTCTGACCCTCCCTAGAACGGTACTACACCACTACAGGATGACAATGGTGACCTCTGACCCTCCTAGAACGATACTACACCACTACAGGATGACAATGGTGACCTCTGACCCTCCTTAGAACGATACACACCACATACAGGATGACAATGGTGACCTCTGACCTTTAGAACGGTACTACACCACTGCAGGATGACAATGGTGACCTCCTGACCTCCCTAGAACGGTACTACACCACTACAGGATGACAATGGTGACCTCTGACCCTCCCTAGAACGGAGTACTACACCACTACAGGATGACAATGGTGACCTCTGACCCTCCCTAGAACGGTACTACACCACTACAGGATGACAATGGTACTCCTGACCTCCCTAGAACGGTACTACACCACTACAGGATGACAATGGTGACCTCTCTGACCCTCCTTAGAACGATACTTACACCACTACAGGTTGACAATGGTGACTCTGACCCTCCCTAGAACGGTATCACACCACTACAGGATGACAATGGTGACCTCTGACCCTCCCTAGAACGGTACTACACCACTACAGGATGACAATGGTGACCTCTGACCCTCTAGAACGGTACTACACCACTACAGATGACAATGGTGACCCTGACCCTCCTTTAGAACGGTACTACACCACTACAGGATGACAATGGTGACCTCTGACCCTCCCTAGAACGGTACTACACCACTACAGGATGACAATGGTGACCTCTGACCTCCCTTAGAACGGTACTACACCACTACAGGTTGACAATGGTGACCTCTGACCCTCCCTAGAACGGTACTACACCACTACAGGTTGACAATGGTGCCCTGACCCTCCTAGAACGATACTACACCACTACAGGATGACAATGGTGACCTCTGACCCTCCTTAGAACGATACTACACCACTACAGGATGACAATGGTGACCTCTGACCCTCCTTAGAACGGATACTACACCACTGCAGGATGACAAGGTGACCTCTGACCTCCCTAGAACGGTACTACACCACTACAGGATGACAATGGACCCTGGACCTCCTTAGAACGGTACTACACCACTACGATGACAATGGTGACCTCTGACCTCCCAGAACGAGCTACACCACTACAGGATGACAATGGTGACCTCTCTGACCCTCCTTAGAACGATACTACACCACTACAGATGACAATGGTGACCTCTGACCCTCCCTAGAACGGTTCTACACCACTAGGATGACAATGGTGACCCTGACCCTCTAGAACGGTACTACACCACTACAGGATGACAATGGTGACCTCTGACCCTCCCTAGAACGGTACTACACCACTACAGGTTGACAATGGTGACCTCTGACCTCCTAGAACGGTACTACACCACTACAGGTTGACAATGGTGACCTCTGACCCTCCCTAGAACGGTGTCCTGAAATTCCATCGTAATGCTTTTCTTTTTCGAGTATTACAATTGTGTGAGTCAAATTAGCATAGAAAAATTACTTTCACCTTTCCTTTCTCCCTCCCTCCCTCCCTCCCTCCCTCCCTCCCAGTAACACACTATCTCCCTTTTGTCTTATCAGGCGTAAATTTTCTCTTTAGTTGGCAGTGCCGTAAATTTTCTTGTGTTGGCAGTTTTTGGTTAATGGGTTGTGTGGTTTAGTGGTTTTCTCCTCATAACTTGCATTAATGATTCTTTCACTATTGTTTTTATGAGCTCATTAATGCCGTCCTGAGTGCCTGCTGTTCACCCAGATTTTCCCTCAAACCTCTTTCTGGTTTTTTTTATTTACCTTTTTTGTGTAAATTGGTGTTTTTATTTTATTTGGTTAATCTTTTTGGTTTGGTCTATTATGATTATTTGTTATATATGTTTACCTGTGTGTGTTATATGACATATGTACTTTTGTTCATATTTTCATATACACACAGACACGCAGGTACACATACATACATACATGTAAGCACACACACATGCAGGTAAACAAACATATATATACAAAAACTCACACACGTTCCAACACACACACACACACACATCACACACACACAACACATATACACCAACACACACACACACACACACACACACACACACAACACAGACACACACACCACACGACATACACCCTTATCTATACAAACGCACTTAAATACACCCTCATGCACACATACACATCCTCTTTACATACAAATATATAACCCAGGGTCACTTATACACCAATATATTTTTACCCTTAATAGTGTATTCAGGTTGTTGGAGGGGTGGGGGGGGTTACGCCCTTGAGCTCGTTTGTTGTGGTCTTCAGTGTAAACAGTGTAAACAGCTTTATGTTCAGATTCACTTAGAGAGTAATACAACATGTTATAGTTAGCAAGCTTAGTGGACAAGGCCATCACCTGTAATGGCATCAAACCACCTCATTCCGTGCTTAAAGACATTATGACCTATTGAAGGGAAAATATAGGTCATGTGTTTATTAAAAGTTTTTAAGTGTGTTATTCTAAGTTTGATAATGTGGTTAGGGTCCAGCGATGACTGTGAGGGATCGTAAAGACATTAAAAAAAATATTGACTCTTGAATGGGGTAGACATGCCGTTGTAGGTGGGTCTAACGTTGAATGGTGATCGCTGTATTAACGAGACGCTATGCCGGGTAGACAGCAGGCAGATTAATTGCTTTTGTCAACTATTAATTATCACGGGTAATTATCGCGCTAATTATCAGATTTGACGTAACAAGATTATCACGCTGGAGAGTTAGGCTTCACTCGGGATTGTAATTACACAGATCTTGTCCATAAACCATCACGATTATAATTGTATTAAAATCAAAAATAGTAATGAATTATAATGCTAATAATAGTTATGTAAATAATAAGTATGAATAATAAAAATAATAATAATAATGATAATAATAATATAATAATAATAATAAAACTAACAAGGATAACAATGCTAATAACAATATTACAAATTGTATGAAGGTAATGATGATAATAACAGTAATAAGAATAACAATCATTGGCCCAACAGTATCACCATCTATAACAAATTATAACTTATGTATCAGGATTTCGTATAATGAACAAACAGACAGTCAGTAGACATTATAAAACACAAACAGACAGACAGACAGTAGAGTTAACACGACAGAAAACACAAACAAAACACACAACAAACAACAACAAACACACAACACCACAACAACAACAAACACAAACACGACACCAGACAGTAGAGTTAACACGACAGACAGACAGTAGGGTTAGCACGACAGACAGACAGTTGAGTACACACAACAGACAAGAGTTACCGACAGCAACGTAGGGTTAGCACGACAGACAGACAGTAGGGTTAACATGAAGGACAGATAGACAGTAGAGTCAGTAAATCGTGACACTCTTGACAGCCTCTTGTCTGCGGGTAATAACAAGGTATCTGAACACTTCGCTGAAAGAGGCAAGTTATGACGTAAGGTAAGTGAAAGTTTAGCTACGATCTCGTAAATTATGACAGGTAACAGAGGTGTGTGTGTGTGTGTGTGTGTGTGTGTGTGTGTGTGTGTGTGTGTGTGTGTGTGTCGTACTGTATACGTCACCCAATTCTCTATGAAGAAAGGTAGTAAAATATAACCGAGCGTCTCAGTAACGGCCGACAGACCCTTCACAGGTAACTTAAGACGGCCAAACAAACGTCTCCATCAAGCCTTCCACGACAACAACCGCCCGACCATCCAGGGTGATTAATTAAGCATATTTTTTTTTAATGACATGTGAATCTCCCGTCTGGTATCCTCCCTAAACTCCCAGGTCGAAGTTATGGTCAATATTTGGATCACTGAACGACCCATGTTAGAGTTTTGTGGTAGGAGAAACATCAGGTGTTGTTATTATGTTATGAGATGCACCAGGTGTACGTTTGGAGTCACACCAGGTGTTATTAATACGTTATGAGTTATACTAAGTGTTACCATGCAGCTTTTATTATCGCGCCCAGGTGGCTGCATGTTGTCCACTTGATGGTCTGTTTGTAAATTTGATTAAGGATAAGAAAACTCTCAAGAATCGAAGACATGTAAATAAATGACTCACTACTACCATAATGATGTATCAAGTCTTAATAAATTACTTGTGGAAGTCTTCAATTTTGTAGAGTCCATTTTAGACCAACTTAGTTAACTGAAAATAAATAATGACTAGTTATTATGAGACTTTACTTCATGTGTTGAAATTTTTGTAATTTAGAAGATGTCTGTCTATTTTTAGTCATTAAATCCAATTATTGCGTATCATATAACTAGTTTCGTTCATTAAATCAAATTACGGCATTTCACATGACAGACTTTGATTATGTAATTTTCTTGTTTTTCGCGAAAGGTAAAAATGATCAGTTGAAAATATAAGAAGGAAAAATGGACTAGCATTAAGAGTTATGGCCTGACAGGAGGAGCAATCCATCAATATGACATTAGTTCTGGAGGTAAAACACCGCGTGAGGAACATCCATAAATTTCTGTAATAAGATTTGCCGGGCCGGGAGCTCCAGCCTCCCGCCAGGCTCACAGATGGCGACCCGCGCACCCTGATTATTCTAGAATTATCATCAGTCGATCTGAATTTTCAAGATTAAACGGGATTGATCTCTAATTATCGTTTAATATCACTCCATCCGTCGGGCTAAATGCTCGAGGGATGGAAGATGAGGATGGGGGCAGTGAGGAGAGGAGGGATGGAAGTGGATGGTGAGGAGTAGAGGAGGAGGGATGGTGGCGGCGAGGAAGACGTGATCCGTAATTTTAGTTTAATTGTTAGTTTGATAGTAAGTTTAATCAAGAGCTATCACATTTACGCTGGGTGGGTGAGAGAGGGGCGGACCTCCTCCTCCGTCGCTCTCTCTCACACACACACACACACACACACACACACACACACACACACACACACACACACACACACACACACACACACACACACACACACACACACACACATACACACACACACACACACACACTATCTCCTAAACATAAAAGAGTGCAGTTCAGTAAAAATCAAGTCAATTATAAATAAGTTTAAGGTTGGACAACAGGTGTGAAGCAGAGGTACGTAAGCAAATATTATGAGTGACATTACCAGTTATTAACAAACGTAACTTATACTGCCAGAAAAAAACTCGGAGGACGTTCATGTAACTCGAACACGTGATATGTCCAAAATGCCTTTAATCCCTTAGTTAAGATAATTGGATCGTGCCTATTAACAAATCCTCTCGAGCCCTAAGGAAGATTAAGATCCCAGCCAAGTTTCAAGAGAATCGGTCCACCACTTCAAGATTTATCTCGTTCATGCCAGGGATAGACTTAGGCATGGCTTGTAGGATTCTATAAGACATAAACTTGTTCTCAGAGTAAAGAACATCTAGTCACAGATCGAAATAGTCAGATCAGAGTTATTGGAAATGTCAGAAAGCTTGATAATGTAGTGCAGCTTGAAGACGAGAGCCAGGAAAAGAGCGTCACAAACAGCTTTATCGACAGCTGTTAGCGAGACCGGATAATCCTTGGCTGCTAAATGATTCATGTACTTTCCTGAAAGCTAATTGACTCGTCAGGAAGGCTAAAATATACATGTTTACTTGGCAATAGTGTGTGTGTGGGTGTGTGTTATGTGTGTGTGTGTGTGTGTGTGTGTGTGTGTGTGTGTGTGTGTGTGTCCCATCTACTCACTGTAATGTAAATAAGAGAGATGTTGAAAGAGTTTAATAACAGCAACACAGTGATGAATTTTAGATGTAGGTTATGTTATGTTAGGTTAGGTTAGGTTAGGTTAGGTTAGGTTAGGTTAGGTTAGGTTAGGTTAGGTTTACTTACTATACAAGGTGTTGAAACCCGTTGTTGTTGTCCCTGTTCGTCACCATTAAGCAGGTGGTAAGATGCCTCACTTCCTTGACGTTAATGTTTCTTCACAAATTTGTGTACACCATTACCAAGCTGCTCCGATAGTGTACTAATACAGTTGCCAGTTGTGTAAGAGCCAGTGTAGTTGTCGTGTAACCAGGTGTTATGTAACTGTATCAGGTGTTATGTAACTCATACCAGATGTTATGTAACTCTACCAGTTGATATTACTGTACAGGTGTTATGTAACTGTACCAGGTGTTATATAACTTACCAGGTGTTATATTAACTGTACCAGGTGTTATGTAATTACCAGGTGTTATGTAACTGTACCCGGTGTTATGTAACTGTACCGTGTTATGTAACTGCCAGGTGTTATGTAACTGTACGAGTGTTATGTAACTGTACCAGGTGTTATGTAACTGTACCAGGTGTTATGTAACTGTACCAGGTGTTATGTAACTGTACCAGGTGTTATGTAACTGTACCAGGTGTTATGTAACTGTACCAGGTGTTATGTAACTGTACCAGGTGTTATGTAACTGTACCAGGTGTTATGTAACTGTACCAGGTGTTATGTAACTGTACCGTGTTATGTAGCTGTACCAGGTGTTATGTAACTGTACCAGGTGTTATGTAACTGTACCAGGTGTTATGTAACTGTACCAGAGTGTTATGTAACTGTACCAGGTGTTATGTAACTGCAGGTGTTATGTAACTGTACCAGGTGTTATGTAGCTGTACCAGGTGTTATGTAACTGTACCAGGTGTTATGTAACTGTACCAGGTGTTATGTAACTGTACCAGGTGTTATGTAACTGTACCAAGTGTTATGTATAGCTCCGTACCAGGTGTTATGTAACTGTACCAGGTGTTATGCTTAACTGTACCAGTGTTATGTAACTGTACCAGGTGTTATGTAACTGTACCAGGTGTTATGTAACATGCCAGGTATGTAACTGTACCAGGTGTTATGCAACTGTACCAGGTGTTATGTAACTGTACCAAGTGTTATACCTTTGTACCAGAGTGTTATTTATACCAGGTGTTATGCTCACTGTACCAGAGTGTTATGTAACTGTACCAGGTGTTATGTAACTGTACCATTATGCAACTGTACCAGGTGTTATGTAACTGTACCAGGTGTTATGTAACTGTACCAGGTGTTATGTAACTGTACCAGAGTGTTATGTAACTGTACCAGGTGTTATGTAACTGTACCAGGTGTTATGTAACTGTACCAGGTGTTATGTAACTGTACCAGGTGTTACATACAAAGTTAATATGGCCCTTCACCTGGTGCCTTCTGCTGTTCACGTCGTCATCTTTAATTTCTTCCATTTTATTGGTTTGTTTTGTAATGTGTTATGTGTATGTTATGGTTTAGGTGATGGTCAAGACTGAATACCTCTGTTACATTGAGATCTGTTGTGTATTGTAATCTGGGAAATACACTGTAAATTATTTATATTTCATGCATACATACATACATACATACATACATACATACATACATGATGCCCCGGGGTAAATGGAGTATGTCTTGGTGTATGAAAGACAAAAATACTTTAGTATTTATACAAAAGGAATCCCGATGAAGAAAAATTTCTGTAAAACTACAAAAGACGAACATTATAGAATAAAGAAGAAGAAAACCGAGAATAGATAAACCAGAAGAGACACGAAAATATGGGAGAGAGAGAGGACGGGAGGGTAGTAAAGAAAGGGAGATTAAAGACGACGTTTTGAGATAATAGAGAGAAAAATGCAAAAGATAAACGAGCAGGGACAAGCAAGAATGAGATGGATTAAAGGCAGAATATAGTAAGACAGGAAGGAGGATAGACAAGAAAGGGAGGAGGAAGCGAGAGGACGTGGATTAAAGTAACAGCAGGGAGTTTGGGGCGCATACACAAGTTGAGGCACACCATTAGTATTGCCTCTTGTCCGAACGGCAGGTGCCTCATCCCATGAGTATTGCGTGTGGGTGTGTGTGAGTGTGTGAGTGTGAAGGGGGTTAAGGTGTATTTGTGGTTTGGTTTGTGTTTATGGAAAGGATCTGAGGCCTGTTTATCTGGGTGTGGTTTAGTGTATATGGTGGAGATGGAGCAATGGGGTGCCAGCGCCAGTGTGTATATACGTGTGTATTTAACTATTTATATTATTTTAAGCTTTTATAAATATATATATATATATATATATATATATATATATATATATATATATATATATATATATATATATATATATATATATTTCTATATTATTATTATTATTATTATTATATATTTTATGTGTAGGTGTATGTGAGGCAGTACCCAGGAAGGGGAGGAGGGGAAAGTGACTCATCTCTGCCAGACACCAGCAATAGAAATGTCCGGCGATAAGTTCTGGGCTGATGCAAGTCCTCGTGGGAGGGAGACGCTCATGAAATTACACACACACACACACACATACATATATATATATATATATATATATATATATATATATATATATATATATATATATATATATATATATATATATATATATATATACAATCAACACCTCAACCCGCCAGGATTCGAACCCACGGCCCACTAGCCCATGACTAGCGTTGTGTACGTGTGATTTTGTGGAATTTATATTCCTATGTATAAATTATATGTTTACAAAATATAGATTGTTTCTCTTCATTTTCTACTCACCAGCCCCGCTACACTCACCCACACACGCTCTTCCTCACGCCCTCCCCCCCACACACACACCTCCTCCCCCACACACCTCCATCCCTCTCCACACACACACACCTCCTTCCCCCACACACCTCCCTCCCCCCACACACACACCTCCTCCCCCACACACATTCCTCCCCCACACACACACCTCCCTCCCCCACACACTTCTCACCCCCCACACACTCCTCCACCCCAGACACACACATTCCTACCTTCCCCCCACACACTCCATCTCACCTACTGTCTTAGTTCACTACCCCACAGACACTATGAAGGTGAAGTGTACAGTGCCGCAACATACAGTGCCGCAACATACAGTGCCAGTAGACGTGTTGTGTCGTGGGTGAACTTTTTCGAGAGTTGGTGCTGACGGATAGTTCATGTTTACAAAGTTACTGAGGAAATAACTGTATACATTTGCATATGTCTGTCTGTCTGACTGTCTTTTCTGGATTTCTTGGTCTCTTTGCTGTCTGTCTGTATGCCTTTCTTTCCATCTCTTAGTCTGTCTGTCTGTAATGTCAGAGTTTATAGCGCATCCAGTTTTATTATAACGTTGGCTGCTTATTATTATTATTATTATTATTATTATTATTATTATTATTATTTTTATTATTATTATTATTATTATTATCATTATCGTCTTCCTTTCCTGTGTTGCTTATTTTTCTCAATTACTGTTATTTCTTCTGCATTTCTCCTATTATTGTTGTATTTTCTCTCTTCCTCTTTCTTTCATTTCCCATTTCGCTGTATCCTCTCTGTTCTCTCTTATTGTTCATTCTATTCCCTCCCATGTCGTTCTATCTCTCTCCTCTCGTGCGATTTCTTCTGTTATTCACTACTACTACTACTACTACTACTGTCAGAACTATTGCTCTTGTTACTCGCACCGTTATCAGTGTTATTCATGTTATGACCTCTGCCGTTATTGTTATTGTTATTGCTGTTTCTCCTGGCCCCTTGTATCTGTTATTCTTGTTTTCCCTGTCCAGTCAGTCAGTCGCCTCTGGGTGTTATGGCCTCGCTGCCCTTCCTTACACCGTCCATGTTTGACTTTTGTATCAAGGGTTATACGATTGGTAACTGAGATGAAAGTGTTGTAGAATATTCAAGGGGTTTAATGATAACAATGTGTTGGTAATTAAATATCCAGGATACAGAGAGAGAGAGAGAGATATATATGTCTAAAGCGACTTTCAACTCAGGAAATACGTGAATGAATACTTATTATAGGATATGGGTAACTTGTGGTGTAATAGACCAACGGCGATTGTCGTGTGTGTGTGTGTGTGTGTGTGTGTGTGTGTGTATTTCCCTTGGCAAGAACTAGAGGAGGTGGAATTCCCAGTATTGCTAGGGCACACAGGGCCCGGGCTGGAATGATGGAGGGGGGGACGAGTGGGCTGGCTACCTGGCATCCATTTCCTCGCTCAAAGTCTCGTGATCCTCAGATGGAATTGCCCAGGAGTTTCAGATTACGGTAATTTAGGATCAAAGACTCGTGACTTGGAGATTTCATTGCTGAGTGGGTTCCAGAATATCCACATTTTTTTTTTTTTTTTGAAGCTTTTCATTGGTAGTCTCCAAGGTACACAGGTCTAGGAGATCCATGGGTTTATATATCTTGAGAAAAGGTGTTGGTGTTCTTTTCTCAAATCTCCAGACACTTTATGCATGTCTCCTCCTCTTACACATCCTCTCTCTCTCTCCCTCTCTCTCTCTCTCTCTCTCCTCTCTCTCTCTCTCTCTCTCTGTGGTTACATTACTGGTTCCTCGTTTCAGTTTCTCTTAATTTGATTGTTTTCTCTTTTTCTCCTTACATTTTCTGTTCTTTATTATTTATTGCTTCACTTTTTAGTACTCAATTTTGTCACACTGTTTACACACTTTGTTTACATTGTGTTTGGTCGTTGTTTCTTATGTTTGTTGATGTTTACCTTCACCGACCTCGCCTTCCTTTGTAGTTCAGTCTTCTCCCTACACAGTCCCCACGCTCTCCCTACACGTCCCCACGCCTCTCCCTACACAGTCCCCACCTCTCCCCACACAGTCCCCGCCTCTCTACACAGTCCCCCGCCTCTCCTACACAGTCCCCGCCTCTCCCTACACAGTCCCCACGCCTCTCCCTACACAGTCCCCCGCCTCTCCCTACACAGTCCCCGCCTCTCCCTACACAGTCCCCGCCTCTCCCCAGTCCCCACGCCTCTCCCTACACAGTCCCCGCCCTCTCCCTACACAGTCCCCACGCCTCTCCCTACACAGTCCCCCGCTCTCCCCTACACAGTCCCCACGCCTCTCCTACACAGTCCCCACGCTCCCCACAGTCCCCACGCCTCCCACAGTCCCACGCCTCCCTACCCCCGCTCCTACAAGTCCCCACGCTCTCCCTACAGTCCCCACTCCCTACAGTCCCCGCCTCTCTCACAGTCCCCACGCCTCCCTACAGTCCCCACGCCTCTCCTACACAGTCCCCACGCTCTCCTGCAGTCCCCACGCCTCTCCCTACACAGTCCCACGCCTCTCCTACACAGTCCCCGCCTCTCCCTACACAGTCCCCACGTCTCTCCTACAAGTCCACGCCTCTCCCTACAGTCCCCACGCCTCTCCTCACAGTCCCGCCTCCCCACAGTCCCACGCCTCTCCCTACACAGTCCCCACGCCTCTCCCACAATCCCCGCTCTCCACACAGTCCCCACGCCTCTCCTACACAGTCCCACGCCTCTCCTACACAGTCCCACTCCTCACAGTCCCATCGCCCTCCCTACATCCCCCTCCACATCCCCCTCCTACACAGTCCCCGCCTCCCTACACAGTCCCCGCCTCCAGTCCCCACGCCTCTCCCTACACAGTCCCGCCTCTCCCTACACAGTCCCCCCCCTCCTACACAGTCCCCCTCCCACAATCCCGTCTCTCCTACATAGTCCCCACGCCTCTCCTACAGTCCCCACGCACTCTCTCTACAGTCCCCACGCCTCTCCCTACAGTCCCCACGCCTCTCCTACACAGTCCCCACGCCTCTCCTACACAGTCCCCACGCCTCTCTCTACAGTCCCCACGCCTCTCCTACACAGTCCCGCCTCTCCTACAGTCCCCACGCCTCTCACTCACAGTCCCCACGCCTCTCCCTACACAGTCCCCGCCTCTCCACAGTCCCCGCCTCCACACAGTCCCCACGCCTCCCTAATCCCCGTCTCCCACAGTCCACGCTCTCCCAACAGTCGCCTCTCACTCACAGTCCCACGCCTCTCTTTACAGTCCCCGCCTCTCCTTACAGTCCCCACGCCTCTCCACAGTCCCCCCTCTCTCACAGTCCCACGCCTCTCCCTACACAGTCCCCACGCCTCTCTCTACAGTCCCCACGCCTCACCTACACAATCCCCACGTCTCTCCTACATAGTCCCACGCCTCCCTACAGTCCCACGCCTCTCTCTACAGTCCCACGTCTCCCTACATCCCACGCCTCTCTCTACAGTCCCCACGCCTCTCCCTACATATTCCCACGCCTCTCCTACACAGTCCCCACGCCTCTCTCCTACAGTCCCGCCTCTCCTACATAGTCCCCACGCCTCTCCCTACACAGTCCCCACGTCTCTCTCTACAGTCCCCACGCCTCCCTACACAGTCCCCACGCCTCTCCTACATAGTCCCACGTCTCTCCCTACATAGTCCCGCTCTCCACACACCCACGCCTCTCACACAGTCCCCCTCCCTACACAGTCCCCGCCTCCCCACATCCCCCTCCCCACACCCCCCTCCCTACACATCCCACCTCCCCACAGTCCCCACCCCCACCCCCCACCCTCCCACAGTCCCACCCCCCTCACATCCCCGCCTCTCACTACAGTCCCCACGCCTCTCGTCCCCACGGCTCTCCCTACATGTCCCCACGCCTCTCCCTCACAGTCCCGCCTCTCCTACACAGTCCCCGCCTCTCCCTACAGTCCCCACGCCTCTCTCAGTCCCACCTCCCTACAGTCCCCTCTCTCCTACATAGTCCACGCCTCTCCTACAGTCCCCACGCTCTCTCTCTACAGTCCCCGTCTCTCCTACAGTCCCCACGCCTCTCTCTACAGTCCCCACGCCTCTCCTACATATTCCCCCGCCTCTCCTACACAGTCCCACGCTCTCCCTACAGTCCCCACGCCTCTCCTACATAGTCCCCACTCCCTCTCCTACATAGTCCCCCACGTCTCTCTCTCTACAGTCCCCAAGCCCTCCCCATATTCCCCACGCCTCTCCTACACAGTCCCCCTCTCTCTACAGTCCCACTCCCTCCCCAGTCCCCTCCTCTCCCTCAAGTCCCCTCCCCTACAGTCCCACCCTCTCCCTCCCACGCCCCGCCCTAAGTCCCCCCCACAGCCCACGCCACAGTCCCCGCCCCCACAGTCCCACGCCTCTCCCTCACATCCCCACGTCTCCCTCCCACGCCTCTCCCTACACAGTCCCCACGTCTCTCCCTACAGTCCCCACGCCTCTCCTACAGTCCCCACGCCTCCCTACACAGTCCCGTCTCCCTACAGTCCCCACGTCTCTCCCTACAGTCCCCACTCTCCTACAGTCCCACGATCTCTCATTCACATAATATTGTCAATCTACCGTGTGTTTGTTGTGTCTTATACGTTCAGGTACCCGCGATTTTCCCTCTCTTGAAATATCCTCCTCCTTCTCCTCTTTGATCGAGATCCCTCCCCCCTCCTCCCCGTCTTACCTACAAAAGTTCCCGCAGTCTTAACACAGGTTGGGTAGACCCCCCCTCAACACACACACAGAGTCGCTACAGTGGTCTTTGTTCCTCTTCACCAAAGTTCCATCAGGCACTGTACAAAGTCTCTTTTCTGCTCATAAATCCTTTGCCACATATGTACAAAGGCTTCCTACGGCCTTCTCTCCTCGCCCATCTACCCCTCCTTATCTTGCCTCTATCTCTTATCTCTCCATCTCCCTCTTCATCTTTTCCCATCTCTCCATCTCCCCTTTTCGTCTTTCTTCCCCATCTATCCATCTACCCTCCCTCTCTCCTCATCTCTCTCCTCTTCCCCGTCCCTTTACACCTCTTGCGCTTACTTAAGGTATTTAAAACTTCCAAAAGGATAGAACTTATCCCTTCACCTCTTACAACCAGCCACCAAGTCAGCCCACAGCCAGCCCACAGCCATCCCACAGTCAGCCCTGTAGTCAGCACACAGCTCACACTGCTCCACCTGACACACTACTGACACTTATGTCACCTGTCTCACACTTATGTCACCCTCCACTCTCACACTTATGTCACACCACTCTCACATGGTAGCACCACATTCACACTTATACAGTACTGTAACACTAACACCGCTGCATCAATATTCCCACGCCGTAATACACCGAGACCACAGTAACCCGACGTCACAGTACACGCACCCCATAATGCCCTCTCCCTGCAATGCCTCTACAAAAGTTTACCCTCATGTCATGGTCCTCCAGCGCCACAAGGCTTTTATGCCATAATACCTCCTCATCGCACCACACTATTGGCCTAGACAAAAACTTACAGCAATACTCTTACGCCATAGTATTCTCCAGTGGCTGTAGACTAACACCCACGCCACAATGCTCTCCCACTGCCCCTCCTCCCACCAAACCAGTGAGATTTAGGCGCAGGCGAGAGTGGTGGGGTGCGGGAGAGAGAGAGTGAGACGCAGGCGGCATTAAAGGCTGGCAAGACGACCATTAGTATTCCGCAGGAGCAATGTTCTCGGACCAGAGGGGGGAGACCCGCACCCCAGTTTTGCATGGTGAGGGGATATGCAAAAGACTTGTCATGAAATTAGGATTTTATGGGAGTTCAGGGTACGCTGTGCTGCTATGTGTGATGGGATTTTGTTGTGGCAATGGGGGGGGACTTTACCGCCGATGGCCTCAAGGTGGTTAATCCTATTTTACCCTGGTGGTATAATGGACCTTGTGTGTGTGTGTGTGTGTTGGGAAAGGGCGTCCTTGGTGTCCCATATTCTTGGTAATGACTGCATTATAACTTCAGAATGGCTTATTCTATTGGCTGTTATATATGTGAACTCTGAGCCGCGATTGGTCGGAGGGCGTCAACAAGTACCTCTCAAGCAGCACTAATGAATCCTGTTAAAGTTACTTAAGTAACGTCTTCACGATCGACGAAACTTAATAAATAAGTTATTGCATGAACACTCTCTGTGGAGCAAGATGGCGCTGGTAACTTTTCTCACCAAGTTGTGTTGAGGATTTTTTCCCATCTTTTGTGATGTTGATCCTAAACCGGAGAACTTAAATTGTTGACGGTGAGGCTGTTTACGTGGTGATGGGGTGGGGGAGACAGTGATGATGAAGGTGAAGTTGTTTGGACACTTGTCTCGTCTACAGAGTATCTTAGAATATTGACGACACACGACACACGTACAGGCACCGAGTGTGGACCATAAAGTTGACTGTAAATTACAAAGAAATATGATGTATATGGTCTAAATATATCTGTTTAGTGCATATTGCAATTAATTCGCTAATAATTTATTAACTGCTTAGCATTACATGTAAATTGTATATTTATTTATTTATATAAATTTTATGCAAAGTTAATGCTTTTCAATCAACTGAAGAGTTCGTATGTGTGCGTGCGCGTGTGTGTGTGCAATGTGTTTTACATACGTATAATAATCTGTGTAGATTGATACATTTTGTACCTAAGCTCAGCTTTCTTTACCATCTCCTACACTCAGCACTGGCAAGCGCTCCCCGTCCCTCCTATCCACATCCTGTAACGATTATTGTCAACAATCCTAACAGGACCTTGGGGGGGGCACTTCTTTCATGGGTTATTTAATTAACTTGATAAAACAGTTTCGGGGAGGGAGGAGACGGTCGGTGTTGACTCGGACCCAGCGTGAACTTACCGAGTTTGTGACACCTTGTTATCTTTTTGCGCTATCAGCGTCCGACAAGATCCTAACGTTCTATTGTCAGAGTATGATTACGTTTAAAATCAGTTGGATTAATCTTAAGCTCATGATACATAAATGTTTTATATTATACCCGGTCGTGTTCGTCCACATTTACATAATTTTACTCTACTTTCCAGTATTAATATTTTCATCTTTTTATTTTCCTTTCCTCACGTCCGTACACTTCTGTGTCCGTCCGTAGTTTTAGCACAGTAACTCGAGACAAAGGACGAAGACTCTGACCTGTCAGAGTGTGAAATTTAATTGAATAACAGAAGTGATTTGAGACATGATAATTATACAGCATTTGATAATTGACAAGGATTGTTTTCAAGAGTAATTATACACAAATTGGGTAGTTTCACACTAACATTTGCCGTTCTGAAGCTAAACTGTGTGCAATTGTGAGATGTTTCTTCACGTTAGCATGATAGTGATTTACCGGAATTAGCCCACCCGGGCCAGGTCACTGACCCATATCGGGGCCTGGGGGGGCAAAAATGTAATAGTAATAGTAATAATAATAATAATAATAATAATAATAATAATAATAATAATAATAAAAGAAATACAAAATGGAGAAAGATCAAAGTGAGAAACAATACATGTATGTTGTGTTGTCAATATTAAGAGAAACAATTGAGACTGCAATTGTGTGTAAATGAAGACAGAAAGTCAGATCAGCAACCTGGGACTTGGTCACAATTTTCGTGATGCCATATGGCAGCAGGGTCTACCATTAGACAACACATTATGCTTCCAATATCTTCCCAGGCGGTAGTACCTCCCTGTTTGATAGCTGCCTACTACCTACTACCTGGTGTGTTGTCCACTTAATGAAGAAGACTCGGGCCGGAGGATGAACAGGTCGTCCCACTCTCACTTGATGGCGAGTCACTGCCGAACCTCCCCACCAACACACACACTAAGAGGGTCACTATGATATTGTCTAGTAAATATTATTAATAAACTTCTAACGGCGGTGACTCGAGGTAATGAACTACTGCCCCTCACCCCCTTCTGCCCCCCTCACCCCCGCCTCCACAGCCGAAGTGTGGCCATGTGCTTGTGTATGGTGTGGTGAATATCTTCCACCACATCTCTCTCTCTCTCTCTCTCTCTCTCTCTCTCTCATTACCTCCTCCCTTCAACTATGGCGGCCCTTCATACCCATCTCCCTTTTAATCCTCTCACCTCCTGCACCCCAAACAGCGCCCTCTCTCTCTCTCCCTTTACG